AAAAAGGAGCATAAGAGTAGTTTGTTTTCATTTTAGCTGAAGGTTAATTCAGCAGTTAATCATATTGGATCAACCATTGGTATAGAGAGTATGAATATTTATCAAACAGTGTGTTTGGTTTGTCATGTTACAATTAGAATAAATATATTTACATGGACACAAATAATCAGATTGAAGGCCTAATCAGATCAAAAATGTTGACATTTCTTTCCAAAAGAAATGTCAAGTGATGTGGTTTTTGCTTATTGCCATTCTGATGGGGTCCATGTACACACCCATTCGGATCGTTGGAGCAAAAATAATCTCCACTGTTAATGTGTGCAATGTCAGTTTGACGTTTTCCGCCATTTTTCTGGAAGATTAGACAGATCTGTGTTTGCTTAAATTATTTAATCTGATCGAATGCTTTGTACAAGTATACACACATTATGGTCTTTTTATTTTATTTAGTGTTGATCTAAACAGAGATATTTAATTTCCGATCATGATATGACCATGCATGATATTTTATTAGGGCGGTGAGAAAAAATCGATTTTTTGATTTTCAGCTGCTCGATAGAACATAAATCTTTCAGTTCCTAGTCTTGATTTACAAAAAACAAAATATTTCACCTAAAACAGTGAGGGAAAATGGACTACCTCTTCACCGCCACTCTGGCAGATAGCGCTGAGGAGCCTTTTTTCTGTGCGTTACACCATATATGTAATTGAGGCAGTCACAGTAGAAGACATGAACTCAGTCAAACCCCAAAAAACATGGATACCAAAATAACTAAATGATCAATGTCTTCTAATAAACATAAACAGCAATTGCTTTTTATCTATACATTTAATTTTGATAGCTGGGAAAATTACCGCAATATATAATGATATTGCAATATCATTATAATATTGTATCGTGACTAGGGATGCACGATATTGGGATTTTGGCCGATATCCGATATGCCGATATTTTAAAACTCATGTAGCCGATAACCGATATCGATACCGATGTTAGAAATGGATAACAAAACTGCTATATTCAATGACTACTTATTTTTGTCCAGCTTTGACACTTTGA